TTTATCCAATTTCCCATCTTCGGTAAATGTAGTTCCCAGATATTTAAACTCAGATGCCTGTTTAATGTCTTTGTATTCTATTGCTATGTTTAGATCTGTCTTCCCCTATTGACATTACTTCTGTCTTTTCAGTGTTGATTCTCATATTATTTGTTTTACATTCTTCATTCATGGATGTTAGATGTTGTTGCAATTTCATGGCTGTATCTGCTATCAAGGCCTGGTCATCTGCAAAGAGTAATTCGTCGATCTTACTAAGATCTTCATTCATGGTGCTCACTTACTTCCCTCAATATGAACCCTGGCGTCCTGTGACTAATAGTGCTAGTTCTTTGATGACTGATAACAACTGATTTTTGCATGCCCAGTGTCGTCTTTCTCTTTTGGCTATGCTGATCTTAACTCCTGAGTCTTTCATTCTGGTGAGCGATGTGGAATCGCTGCCTCAAAAGTCCTTCACCCTTCCCACTTCTCTGAGGGCATTAATAATATCAGCATGATCCATGGGTTGACCTTTAGCAGTGATAGCAGATCCAGCCAACTTACTGACCCTTTCGTTTCCATCGACGCCCGTAAAATAAAGTACCAGTGTGCTACAATGCTAAATGTTATGTTATCACAAATGACACTATTACACATCTGGGTATTTTGATATGTGCTCAGTACTCCGATACAGCAGCCACTCCAAGGTACCTCTATCGATTGTTCCCATGAAAAGTTGATTATAGTGTCTCCTGCCTTAGCCTTAAAAATGGCAAAGATGTGTTTCCCCAAGCTTTACTTCCAAGTCATGCAATTATACTAGCATCAGAGATTCATCATTATCCATCATTATCCGCAAGTCTAGTTCATACAGCGTTGGTGATATCAGCTCCGTCCAAGCTTCTTCCCCTTTGCAATGGTGCATTACTTACCAGCTGGTCAGCTCTTTCTTTACCTTTTACTCCTGCATATAGATCCAGGCGATGGAAATTATTTGTGACTTCCCAAAGCTTTCTACCCACTCCACACATAAACTACCTACTGCAATTTTCTTAAGCATACTGATGGAGTTTGAAACCATTACTGCATGTATGGCCACTTGTTCTGTTACTCAAACAGTGCTAAAACAGATTGCTTGTGATATACTGATGTCTTTAACTTTCTGCTGCAGGGGGCAACAGCGCCCAGCGTGTAAAGAGGATACTTCTGTAAAAGGCATATATGAAATGTATGAGAGGATGGATTGTGGGGGGGGGGGGGGGGGGGGGGGGGGGGGGGGGGGGGGGGGGGGGGGGGATTGGGGGGGGGGGGGGGGGGGGGGGGGGGTTTTGAATGTGAGAGAACTGGTTACATTACACTAGGTTTAATCCCATATAGCTTTTAGACTGCTGTTTGTCTATCTCTTGATGTTGTCCTCCCACTTGTATCATTGTCTACCTCTTGCTATCGACCTTTCCTTCCAGTAATGTTTTCAAAAGTCTGTTATGTCTTTTAATGTGGCTAAATTATTTTACTAATTCTCTATTATTTCTTTCTGTATTCTTTTGTTCTTTCTTTTTTTTTTTAAATTTGCAGTTTTTCCATATTCTCTTTATTTGAATGTTTTTGTTTCCATGAACTACAGCCTATTCTTTTGTACATCAAAATTTTCAGAGACAATTAAATTTTCTAGTTTCTTGTTCATCGTCCAAGTTTCTGCACTACACAGCAGGGTTAAGTATATACAACATTTGATGACTCTCATTTTTAATTTGTTGTTTCTCTCTCTAACTGTCAATAATTTTCACATTTTACCGAAGACAGATGGCAGGTAACCCTTACGTTTATCTAGTGAGAGCTGAATGGTTATGCATGCAGCATGGAGTAAAAAGAAAACATTAAATTCTGTTATAAACGCTTAAAATATTTACTGAGATTTCAATTGATGAGACAAGTTTATGAGGATCGATGTTAAGTCAGTACGCAAATTTTCAGGTGGTATTCATGATTTTCTTTGCCTTATGGGTAGAAAGCAGATACCCTGTCTGGCAGCATGAGTATCAGGAATGGGCAATCTGTGGACAGGAGAGACATCATCAATGCCATACGAGAGATTAAACGTTGTAGGGCTTTCAGTTTCATGGAAAATGATTTTTTACTAAATAAACTGCACACCATGCGTATACCAATTGGAGCAAGATGAGAAAACCATGCGGGAGACACATGTCGATACATCAACCAGAACAGAATGGGAATTGTTAGCCTTAAAAGACTCAGAGACATACTCAGGAGGAGATTGGATCACTTATGGTCATGTCTGATGTGCGATGAAGATGATCTTTCAATGGAAAATAAACACCATTTTTGTCTAGGCTATAATAAAATCAGTGATTAGTAATTAGAAAGTATTATCATTACAGCACTCCGCACAGATCCATAAGTGCTCCGATCTCCTCCTCAAAAGCTCCACAAGTGTAAAACGACGGATGACGCCTGTTCTGTGTTGGTTAATGAAACGTCTTGTCCCCTTAGTGAAATGTTCATTTCTTGCAACTCCAGGCTGCACCCCCATGTTCATCAGTCTAGACAGGGATATGAAGTCATGTCCTTTGGTGTGCTCCTCGGTACGGTAAATGCAGCGCATGGCATTGATAACATCACTTCTGTCCAGTAATCAGTCAGAATATCTAACTTTCGGAAGGTGTATGAAGTATGATTTAACCAATAAAGTATGATCAGTTATTAGTGAGGACTGTCGTCATAGCTCTTAGGACAGATCCATAGGTGCTCCACACTCCTCCTTAACAGCTCCACAAGTGTAAAATGATAGTATGGTGTGTTGTTTTGTGAAAAATGAACTAACAGCTCCCATGCACTTCCTTAGCTTTACAACATTTTTACCTTAAAATTTGAGGAATGGATGGTAAACACAGCATTATAGTCACCATGCTCAAACTTATGCGATGAAATAGTCAACCTGTAGCTGTAATAAATGAAAGATATCAATGTAAACAGCATAAAGTGCAAGTAAGACTTAAGTTTCACTTTATCACAAAGTAAAAGTCATTCCATAGCAGACACATCCATAAAGGCATACAGTACTTGTCTTCGCTAACATTAGGTCATGACAATGTGGTGGGATAAACAACTCCTCCTTTTTCTTTCATCTCCTTTCATTTGCCTGAAAAATGTTATCTATATCTGCAAATTTGTCTCTCATATAATTGTCACAGTCTTTTTTAATTCATTTAATTGTCCACAAAGTTTATTCTCCAGTGTGTGTTTTTTCTAAAGGTTTGCCCTGATGTGTTGTATTCAGAGATTCCCCTGTGGAGTTCTGTGGCCCTGTTTTGGGAAAAGACAGAACAGACACACTGCATCCCTATCAGGCATGCCATAAAATGTGACTAAATGAGAATTTTCTCTCTGAAGTTGGAACGCATCTGCCTGAGAGGCAAGGAACCAACAGTCTGTTTACAAATAAGTAAATCTGTCAAATGGATGTGCACACAAAATTCAAGTTCTAAAAGAAGATTTAAGTTCAGAATTAGACTACCAACCAAAACTTTCGGCCAGAGTTTACAGCAGGTGACAAGAGAGAGATATTCATGGTACAGTCTTGGACAGCCCTTTCTACAGCACTTTTTTTTGGCCACAAAATATAATCAGAAAACATTAATGCTGGGTATGACCCTAGAACTGCCTTAGACTTTTCATTCCCCAATGGGGCACAACTCTCTTAACCATCTCATGTCTGCGCTCTTGCTGGGTGTTACAGGTGTTTATAGGAGTTCATATGAATGGAATGGGGAGAGTCGGAGCGAGTGCTGATCAGTCAGGTCAGGCGTGCTAAACAAGTGATTAAACAGACATTTTGTGGACAGGACTTGGAAGTGTTTTCCAGGGGCAACAGACAGCCTTGGTAGAAAACACAGTATGTGAGAGCTGTGTGCGAGTCCGTGGGTAATGGTAGAGAGTTGTCGAGCTGTGTGAGGAGTGTCTGAAAGTCTGGAGTAAGCAAGTGGACATCTTCCACTCTGAGGAATCAGGTAAAGGTGCCTACATGGATCAGAGGTAAGCCATACAGAGTTGTGTAAAGGATGGATCCATAGTGTCATCAGGCTGTATGTAGCTGTCATTCAGACTTATGCATTCCTGCAGGTAATTTGAACTGCCTTTGGTGTGCACAGTGGAACCCTTGTCTGAGTACATGTCACCATTTTGAAGGCAGAATCCACTGCCATGTTTAAAAAAAAAAAAAGCATGTAATAAAGGGAAACTTACTGGGAGTTTGCAGAAAGTTAGTGTTTTGGGTCAAAATATGCAGATATAACAGCTTAGCTGTAAACCGCAATACAATGTACCAACTGTTAAGGGTGAATTAAGAAGAAGAATTAGTCTTAGTCAACATTTCAGCTTCACTGCAATCGGGTCTCTGCATGCTTGCTCCGTTGATATGCCAGTGAAAATCAAACAAAATGTCCCTCAGACTCGCTTGAAAAACTAGTGAATAAACAATTAGACCCCAGAACAATCCAGAAATACATACATGCAGTAAATGCATATGGCAGTTGCAAGAGGTGCCAAAGCCAATATTCGCCACCATTAACACAGTTTGACGTTGATGGAAGTAATCGGGCACAATAAGTTTTGCTTTACACACATAGACCTATTACATAAGGTATTTCACCAGCTCACGTGTAAACAGGCTACTGTCCATAATGAATACCACGACACAACCGCTGCACAAATGAAAGGAATTCCACACAAAAAACACAGCTCACAGGGCTGCACCAAGCACTAAACTCAGTAGCTCAGGTAGCAAAACTGTAGACAAAAATTACTTCGAAACTGAACATTCTTCTAGTCCTAATCCTCCATTTTAGACTGGAAGCCAGAAGTTGAAGACTGACGACAAAGAAAGAGGCATCCTCCATTTTAGACTGGAAGCCAGAAGTTGAAGATTGACGACAAAGAAAGAGGAGGAGAAGTAACTACGATTGTCTACAAGATGAAGTAGTTTGTACATTAATAAATACCTGCTGTATGGGACTGGTACAGTCTGAATTAGAATGAGTCCCAGGTAGATTTCAATCTGAAAGGAATCCCTGCCACTAACTTTTGCTGTTATTGTTTCTCCATCCAATGAAATATTGTCCAGATGTTTAGAGAGTTCATATGTCATTTCTTCTGCCTCTACTTCTGAAGTTATTTTCTTCTCTGTCAAGTCAATGGTAACACTGTGCATTTCAGGTGAGCTGAAAAATAAGATATAAATAATAACTTCTTTTCATGTGACAGATTTAAAAAAATAGATAAATATATTTTTACAACTGTAATAATGCTACATGCAAGAGGCCTAGCAAGCCAGCAGTGGTATAATCAACCACTAATACAAAATAAAAAAATGATTAAAGGACAGACTAGCAATAAAAGAGGGGACAGGGTTATGAATACTGTTTTTTACAAGAGTTTCATGACATGACATTTTTTAAGCAGGCCAGTACACCTATATTTCAGCTTTAGTTCTATCGCTGATCAGTTTGTTTTTTCCGGGGAGCAGCCTAAAGTTTTACCATACCAACCTGAGATTAAAATATCTCAATCTAGACGGCAGGCAAACAAAACAGATTCTGCTGGATCTGCACCACTGGGTGGTGAATTGATACATGTGAAGGCAGATGTGATCAAGGCCCTTTGGGAACAAGCAACAGAATCAGTAGGGAAGATTATTATGGCTTGAAAAGAATGAGGCACCACAGGGTCTGGCCGGCTGACTACACTCAGAGGAAAGGCAAGACAAACATATAACCAGATTGTGACTGGTACCATCAGTATTGCCACTCTGCACTGGCTGCTGAAGATGAGGACGGAGCACGCAGTGCTGAATGCAATTCTTGACTGTGATGTCAACTCTTGATTTAAACTCTGACTCTAAACAGATTCCAGATACCCGGTTAAATCTCTAAAGAAGTTATAATTACAGCAACCATCTCGGTTACACCAACCAGGTCTATTCTGCAATACTATATGGGTTCGGACAAAAAAAAATCCTTGGTACTGATTGCAACCCCACAGTGTGTAGAGCTAGAAGATATTATAGTTACACCCCACACACACACACACACATATGCACGCACGCATGCACACACACACACAAGCACGCACGCATGCACACACACACACACAAACGACAGACAAAAACACACACAAATTCTGAGATATTATTTTGGGTGAAGGAAAATGATTTTTTTGTTTGCCCATTGTGATGTCATAATAAACTTATGATGATGTCACTTGTGGCTGTCTTAACAAAACCCCCTTTTTTGGGTCAAAGGGGAGAAAAGCAGTAATTTCTTTGCTCTGTTTGTACTAAGTGACAATGCAAATCTAAGCCCCATGGTCTTAAGGTCGGAGGTAAGTAATTTATATGCACAAAATATTTTCAGAAACACTGAAGTTATATCAGGGTTAAACATCAGAAAAGAAATCATTAGCAAACTCAGAAAAAAGACAGCTGGGTCCTTATGGCAGATACCCCACAACTATTTTTTCTATTCATTTTTTACCTTTGTATTCTGTTACATTTATTTGCATGCAGGCCACAGAGTTATTTTAAGTGTTTGTAGGATATTCCAAAATATTATGTTCTAGTAAAACTAGATATAAACACATTATTCTTGTTAAAATATTTATTAAATATAGTTTTTTTATCAGTAAGTCTCAAAATTCATTGGCGAAGAAAGGGCAGATAAAGAAGTGTGATTTGGTTGAGGGTCCGTGCTTCACTGAGATATCACAGACAGAAGTAGGGAACGAATGAACGAACAAACAAACAAACTTTATTTTCAAAGGGTTAAGAACTTGGCATGGGAAAGAGAAGGAAGAAGAAATAAAGAAGAATTAACAAAACAAACAGAAGTACGTAACCTGTTAGTAGCAAATAACAACAACAAATATATTTTTTTTTAAACATACGTGAATGAAATAGTTAAGAGCTGCAAGTCTCCTTTGATCAGTAAAATGGAAAGCTGTTGGCATCCTAGGGGGTCCAAATATGCAGAAAAACTCAGCTCACTGGGCCCTGTTAGCTCAACAAGTGAACCTTTGATCTCACCATTCAATTCTGAACATTTCACATGCTCCTGTTCCAAGAATGCAGGATCCAATAACATTTCCATGGCCTGTAGTAAAAAGTGCAAAGTAAATTTTCTGATTTAACTCTCTTGGTACCAAAAATAGCCCACTATATGTTTCTGAATCGTTGCATATCAACTGATTTTCTTGCTGTCTTCTACCTCATGCAGATACACAATATTAATTATTTGCATTCATCTGAATGATCTGACTGCTTCTGTCTCTAATTGTCCATGTTGGCATCCCTCAGACCTAAGTATCTATTGCTTTCTAAGGACAGCAGTCTGCGAAAGAAAGGTGACAAGGGAGGGAACTTTCCCCTCCTCCACCTCTGCTGAAGTCTTGGCCTAGAATGCCGAAGGCACACTGCAATGACAGTATCTGCTATGGAACTACCTGAGTTGAGTTGAGCTCAATTAAAAACCTGATATCATAGCACATTGGACATTCCCAGAAATGCTTTATCCTCATCTTCAGCAGCAACTGCAGACTTCCAGTTTCAATGGCAGAAGCAGCAGTCTGACTGTAGGTCCATCATACATGTCCTATGAGTGCTGAGTGTCGGCCAGATCCCCTGATCCCTCCCCGCTGCACTTCTCTTAAGACCATGATGATCTGTTTGTGCTTTTGCACTGTTCACTTACTCCCAAAGGGCCCTGACAACATCCAGCTTGTCATGCCCCAGTTTACTACCAAGTGATGCAGGACCTGCCTCCGTGGTCTGCCTGTTCACTTACTCCCAAAGGGCCCTAACAACATCCAGCTTGTCATACACCAGTTTACTACCAAGTGGTGCAGAACCAGCCTCCGTGGTCTGCCTGTTCACTTACTCCCAAAGGGCCCTAACAACATCCAGCTTGTCATACACCAGTTTACTACCAAGTGGTGCAGAACCAGCCTCCGTGGTCTGCCTGTTCACTTACTCCCAAAGGGCCCTAACAACATCCAGCTTGTCATACACCAGTTTACTACCAAGTGGTGCAGAACCAGCCTCCGTGGTCTGCCTGTTCACTTACTCCCAAAGGGCCCTAACAACATCCAGCTTGTCATGCCCCAGTTTACTACCAAGTGATGCAGAACCAGCCTCCCTGGTCTGCTTGTTCATTTCTTAACACAACTGCATACCCTCCAAAGGGCACTAACTACCCAGGACCTCTGAAGGGATACCAGTCTGCACGGAGACTACCTGTCTGGATTACATTTACCTCTAGAACTTGTATTTAATTTACTTACAGTAAGCATTGAACTCTGAGTTGATGTTGTGCCGCACAGGGTGCACACACCTGGATTGTTGGCACTCAGTGTATGGCTGTGGACAACACCCATTGTGCCTTCTGGGGAGGAAAAAATCAATATATATTATAATCGTCATGATCATCATCATCCTCATCATCATATCATCAAGTGTCTTGTCAAAGAGTGTGGGGCTCATGCTTCTCAACAACTTGCAATCTGCAAACAGCATGTATCAGTCTGTGTGCTGACACTTTTCCCCACCATGACAAATAACTTTCTCCATGTCTTTCTCTATGTCCACATAATTTGTGTGTTGACACCTTCCAACATGATACATTATCAAGAATCTTTTCTCTGTGTCTTCCTCTATCTCCATACAATTTGTGTGTTGACACCTTCCGACATGTTACATTATCAAGAATCGTTTCTCTGTGTTTTCCTCTATCTCCATACAATTTGTGTGTTGACACCTTCCCAGTATGCAGAATGGGAGAAAATCGGTCACCATGGCAGGCATGGGAGGCAAAGAACCAAGGAACAAGACCTACATGGCGACACAGGGTCCGCTGGGAAGACAACATTGGACAGTCCGTAACTGACAGAGGACTGGAATGGAACAAAGCCAGAAAGAAAACTGCTGAGACGCCTGGCGATCTCTCTGGTAAACCTCTACACCGCAAGGTAGAAGAGGAGCGACTAAGTAAGTAAGTAGACACCTTCCCACGCCATGACACACATTTGACAAGAATCTGATCTTCTCTTTGTGTCTTCCTCTGTCTCCATACAATTTGTGCCAGGTCTGTTCAGCTCTTAACAATAAATTAATATCTATTGTACATCTTTTATCTCATGTTTCGGCTGCCCTAAAATGTTTTACTTTACTGACTTGATTAAGAATGTTTCCTTGTTTTAACATCACATCTGATTGTTTTATCAGATATAAAAAATGTTCAGAAAATATATATTCAGAAAAGATATTTTTATGCACTCTGTTTCTGCACTGTCCTTCAGTAGTAGTAGTAATGTTTCAAAAAAATCCTGTTCAACCCTTAGGTTTGTAAATTGGATAGATAGTGATCATCAAGTTCTCAGAGTAGACAATTTGTTATTTTATATTTACGAATGGTGTAATTATTTCTATGAATGATATGCAATTTGCATTGTTTCCTATTACAGACTGTTTTTAAATTTCAGTTATCTGAATTTTTTCGACTCCTCTTAGTTTATACTGTGTGGTATTAGTAATCATGTTTTCTGTTTCGTGTAGTGTCAATTATTTGTGATTATTTTCCTCCATGCCATGATGCCAAACTATCCAACATCTTCTCTCTTGGTCTCCCTTGACTTTTTCTTCCCCTCTGAATTTCCTGTTGTCCCAACATAGTTGAGTTTTCCCTTTCTCACAATCTGACCAAGGAATGTGGACAGTATTCTTCTGATGCGGGCAATCAATTCTCTTCAAGAGTTCATTTCTATTTTTTTAAATCACCAGTATACTTCTGATCCGTTTATGGTGTTATCATTTGTCTACAAAACCAAATCTCAGCAGCTTCAATATACTTTTATTTATTTAGGTTTTTTCAGGTTTTGAACAATGGATGAACATCATGGCACACGGCTGTAACCCATAAGTGCTCTGAACTTCTTCTAACTTAAGTCTGAGTCCAAAGAAGCTCATCACAGTGCACAGGCTCTGTAGCACAGGCGAGGATCCTAAAATACTTTGGGTAGATTTTTAACTTAAATTTTGACAGGGCAGCGCTTTTAGGCTACTCTTTTCAATTTCCAGCTGCCAAGGGATTTTTTACGTTCACAACAATGCACACAGCATCCGATCTCACTACCTAGAGACCAGGAGGAATTACTAGAAGTTCAAGTCCACGTGAAAAAATCCCAGCCCTTACTGGGGATTCAATTCGGAGCCTCTAGCACTCGAGGCGGACACTATGCCTTGAGACCACGTAGCCCCCTCTTTCATTTATTTATTAACTGGCTACTTCATTGTGATGATTCACTTCCATAGATCAAGATTGGCTCTATACATCTATTAAGAACTGTCTTTCTCAGCTAATTTGATAAAAACAGATTATAAAAAATATACCAGTGTCTTAGGATAGTTATAATAGTGCATGCCTGGAATTTGCTGGATACTGTCGGATACATTTGATGTTTGTTGCCAGATAATGCCACTGGAAATTAGTGCATGTGTGATCACAATTCTGTACTTCTCTACTGTGCTATAGATCAATCTTGCATTTGAGTCACTGGTGCCCATATCATCTGTTGGTGTTGAGGTCATGTAGGCACACAGATGAAGCACTCTGCTGTTGTCTGCTGATAAACAAAAACAGAATAACAACAGAAAGAAATATTTTAACAATGTCACAGTTATAAAGTACTGTATAAAATATACTACCCTTAAAGAATCTATGACCCACTACAATAAGCCTATGACAACAAAAAACATGCTAAGAGTAGATGGCTCTAGACAGCTAATGGGAAGGATTAAAACAGTTTTTGGCAACAAAGATCAAGATTTCCTCACTGCTTGAGCTGCAACCATACTAGCAACAAACTGACAGTGAATGATTCATTCCTATCCTGCCCTACCAGTGTCAGACGTGGTCACTCACAACAAACCTGAGAAGAAAATTAATAACCATGGAAATGAGATGTCTGAGTAGGAGTGACCAGAAGAGGAAAAACTCCAGAATGAGGTTATAATTAAAAAAAAAGTAGGCACAGAACCAATTCTGAATTACTTACAAAGACAGCAAATCATATGGTTTGCCCACTTGGAGAGATTAACTTCTGACACCATACCATACATGGCATACACTAAAAGAGAAGGATGTAGAACACGAGGTAGACCAAGAACAAGATGAAGAGATAACATGAGATAAACTCTACAACACCACAATGTGTTTATGATTGCAGCGACTAAAAAAGTGAGAAGCACAACCTTATATCTCCCTCAACACCCAAGTATGTAAAAGAGACAAATGGAAGCGAAAAAGAAGAAGATGCAACAATTGACACCTGTATCTAGACCTGTCTGTCCTACCATGACTGCTACAATACTGTCATAGATGATTGATTATTGCAGTCCTCCAGACATAAAATACAAATAATCCTCTACTGACATAACAATATAGATAGAGACATGTATCCATAACCACCTGTCTCTCCTACCATGACTGCTACAAAACTGTCATAGATGATTACTCCAGTCCTCCAGACAGAAAATACAAATAATCCTCTACTGACATAACAATAGAGATGGAGACATTTGTCCATACCCACCTGTCTGTCCTACCATGACTGCTACAATACTGTCATAGATTACTCCAGTCCTTTGAGAGAAAAGACAGATAATCCGATACTGACATAACAAAAAGAGACATGTATCCATGCCCACCTGTCTCTCCTACCATGACTGCTACAATACTGTCATAGAATGATTACTCCAGTCCTCCAGACATAAAATACAGATAATCTGCTACTGACATAACAATAGAGATAGAGACATGTATCCATGCCCACCTGTCTCTCCTACCATGACTGCTACAATACTGTCATAGATGATTACTCCAGTCCTTTGACAGAAAAGACAGATAATCCACTACTGACATAACAAAAGAGACATGTATCCATACCCACCTGTCTGCCCTACCATGACTGCTACAATACTGTCATAGATGATTACTCCAGTCCTCCAGACATGAATAGGTTTGTGCAGCTGTAGGACACCTGCAAGGATTTCTTGTAGAACTGCTGGGGTCAAGTTGTATTTCATTATAAAGCTGTAAACAATATGAACACCGTCTTCATCAAGCATCTTATCAAATTCTGTGAAGATTTTCTGAAACATAAGCACAATCATAAATAATTTTCAAACACACAAGTAATTTGCTATTCATCATCAGTGGTGATTGTGTGATCTTTCTTTACCCATTCATTAATAGGTAGTGTTCTTATATTTATTTGTTCTATCTTTTTCTATCCATTTGTAAATCCTCTTCACCTTGTGTGGGTTCCAGGGCCTTATTTTGAATCGGGTGTGGGAGGATTGGGGGGAGGGGGGGGGGAGGGAGGGAGGCTCATTGCATCTTCAAAAGGTCAAATTTTCTGATTTAATGGTACAATAAGCCCAGAGATGGCGCAAATACTAGAACTTGAGCCACAAAAGTGGCGCAATTAAACAAGACCACAAATATAGCCAGAGACTGTTAGCAGCTTCGGCAAGCTAGCAGCAGGTTGAACGTGGTTAAGTTTTTAATTTTTTTCTTTAAAGGAGTTGGAACTGGAATATATAATGGTTAAAAAAAAATGGGTTTATGTCTCAACACGTCAGCATCTTACCCCAGAAAAAAAAAACATGTTTCCAAAATGTTACTTGAGTTCGCTAGCTAGGGTTGTTCCACCTTATTAGTTCCTCTTATTCTACTTCCTCTTCTTCTTTTTGCTTCTTCTGCCTTTGCCCTTAAAATGGCAGCTGGCACCTTGTACTGTGGTTTACAGTTAGGCTGCAGAATCTATGTCTTTGAGCGAAACAAATCTAATTTCAACAAAGCCCAATTAGTCATCTTTCACTACATGCCTGTACATTGAGAATGGAGGTGGAGGCAGTCTCTGCTACCTTCTGCTGACCTGAAAATCAAATGTACACACATGCCGTGATTGTAACTGACTCACAGAGCATGTTGAGAAAGGTGAAAACAGGCATGCTTCGTGCAGAGTGGCAAGCATCACTTCAGAGGTCCTGGGTAGTTTCTCCAGGTTATGCCGGTGTGTTGGAAAATGAGCAGGCAGATAGACTGGCTGGCTCTGCACCACTTGGTGGTGAATTGATGTATGACAATTTAGATATTGTGAGGGCCCTTTGGGAGCGAGTGAACAGTGCGGAGGCGCAGATAGATCATTAAGGTCTAAGGAGAATTGCGCTGCGAAGAGTTACCAGGGGATCTGGTCGGCGTTCAACACATAGGGAAAGGATGAGACAGATATACAATCAGATGGTTACTGGTACCATCAGAACTGGAACAATTTGCTTGCTGCTGAAGGTGGGGATTGAGCAATGGGAGTGTCCCGAATGCTGTGATGTTGATTCTCAATTCAACATTTAGCCTGTACAGAGGGGGTAGTAAATCTATTTTTTTTTTCTCCTCGAAATGTGCCCCAGAACCTACACTGGGGCTCAGTAGTTTGTTCCATGATAAATGTAATAGTTTCTGTACTACCAACTTACTGTAGACATACTGGGTTTGTCTGGAAGATAAGCAAACTGGGTGAAGCAATTTGGTGTCGATAGCCACAAGTAGGGAAATTCTTTCAATATTCTTTGAATCTGAACAATCAGAGACATAATAAGACCAAAAATCACAGATAAAATAATCTAAAAATAATAATAAAATAAAATAATAATAAATAATAGTAATAAAATAATGACAGTGACAATAAACTGATAATCTGAGAGATAAAATGATAGTCAGAGAGATATGCTGATAATCTGGGAGATAAATTGAAACAAATACTTCTTCAGAAACAATGATGTGAAAAATTAGTTGATAAGTCTTAGTCTTAATCAGGGTTTCAAATTCATCACAATCAGGTTTTGCCGTACTTGCTCTGTTCCTGTGCCAGTGTAAATTAAATGAAATGTCCCCCACTGTTTCATTTAGAAACACTTATTAAAAATGTTTGGAAAAAAAAGTAATAAGTGTTTGCTAGTTTTGCCAGTTAAACCCCACCCCAAGCATTTTGTAAAAGGCAACTAATTAGGGTGTTTTCTTCAAAGTCAGAAAGCATCTGCCTAAGAGGCAAAGAACCAAGAGTCTGCATATAAATAAGCCAGATCTGAAAACAGCTGTGCATGCAAAACTAAAGTTCTGGAGCAAGTCCAGAAAAAAATGAACAATAAGAACTTTCAACCAGAGTTTACAGCCAGTGAATGGGAACAAGAACAAGATAAGAAGTACATGAGATGGAAGCTGTAAACAGACATGATGTCCAAAGTCACATGGTATATAAATGAGAAGAAGCAGGACTTGTAACTGTCCTTGGTCTGCTGTCCAAGTGTTGGGAAATGAACAGGCAGATAGACTGGCCGGCTCTTGGTGGTGAACTGATGTATGACAAGTTAGACGTTGTGAGTGCTCTCTGGGAGCGAGTGAACAGTGCAGAAGCGCAGATAGATCATTATGGTCTGAGGAGAATGGAGCTGCGAAGAGTTACTAGGGGATCTGGCTGATGCTCAACACTCAAGGGAAAGGTGAGATGGATATACAATCAGATGGTTTCCGGTACCATCGGAATCGGAACTCTTCGTGTGCTGCTGAAGATGGGAATACAGTGTCCCGAGCGCTATGATGTCAATTCTTAATTCAACATTCAACATTCCACATTCTGTCCATGATTCACTTCCATAATCAAGATTGGCTCTACTTAGTCAACAGAAAATACAGGCAACAGTAAACATGGCTCAGGGTAGAAGACTTTAGAGAACTAGAGGAAATAGTTGAACAGTTCAGCACAAGAACAAAGGTTTGCATACAAAGTGCTAATTTATCTAAGACAGAATGATGATATGCCAGGTCACTTTAAATATTTCCAAGGAAAAATTACACAATAAAGTTGTTACAATTGTTTGAAAAAGGACACTTAAAGTATATTAAACTTTATCTATGCTCATACACCCTGTTACAATGAATACATGATTTATGCAAGGTTAAATAACAAAAGGTAACTGATAAGCATACATATCCAATAGTGAAAAAAAGGAACTATACAAGTATATTTTAACAATAACCCTGATGCTTTAAAGGGGTAAAAAGGATTTTATTTTACAAATTACTACTACTGATGTTACTATTACTACTACTACTACTTGTAACTGTTTCATACCTCACTCCAGTCAAGTCTACTGTTTCTAATATCTTCCTTCAGTGTTTCTACAGACCAGACTAAGGCTTCATCTGCTATTGTATGGTCAAGTCCATAGTTTGAGATGCTGTCTTGTGCAGGGCATAGGAGAGCTTGTAGACATCCAAAAAGCCATGTTGTATTAGCTACTAGAGACTCGCCATTCACATTTGTCCACAGTGTTAGATGACCCTGAATATTAATGTTGAAGAAAATGACAATCAATCAGAAATTATAAAAAAACAAAATGTTCATGGAAACCGCAATTACCCACTGGGAGAAAAGCAAATCAGAGAACTAACTACTAGAATCTCATCATCATCAACAGGTGCCATGTTGATCAGGATAGGCAGCCATAGTTTGTTACCTCACACAATCACTAGAATCTCATCATCATTATCATGTGCCATGTTGATAAGGAAGGGTAGCCATAGTTTGTTACCTCACACAATCACTAGAATCTCATCATCATTATCATGTGCCATGTTGATAAGGAAGGGCAGCCATAGTTTGTTACCTCACACAATCACTAGAATCTCATCATCATTATCATGTGCCATGTTGATAAGGAAGGGCAGCCATAGTTTGTTACCTCACACAATCACTAGAATCTCATCATCATTATCATGTGCCATGTTGATAAGGAAGGGCAGCCATAGTTTGTTACCTCACACAATCACTAGAATCTCATCATCATTATCATGTGCCATGTTGATAAGGAAGGGCAGCCATAGTTTGTAACCTCACACAATCACTAGAATCTCGAATCCTACTTGCATATGTGTCAAGCCATGGAGTTATTCATTTTTGTTTTCCCCTTGCTCTTTTTTCTATCATGTCTGCCAGTTGTCACTGTTTTCACATTTATTTTACCTATAGCAGGTCAAATAATCTTGGCTGTCAGCATCAAATTTCTATAATTAAAAAAAGTAAAGGGCCAATTTTTTTTTTTGCTTTTTTTAACACCAATGGTTCATCACTCATATTTTCCAGACCAATCAACCCTCCGTGGGTCATGTGATCAACATCAGGTCAGCCACTTTTACTTCCTAAGATATTACCTGGTACAGATTTTAGACTGCTGAGTTGACCTGACAGCCAAGGTCAATTTTTGGTGGGAAAACAATCTGCCCCTTTGTGGGTTTGATACTAGACCTTCAAATAAGCAGGTGTTTGTTTTCAGCTGCTAAACTACCACACTCATAATTTCTTCAGATACCATATTTTTCCTTGTGTAAGATGCCCTAATGTAAAAGACAACCCTTGTTTTATTTGATTTTAACTTATTTTTTTAAAGCTAAAAATGAATAAATAAATATTTTAAAAACATTCCATTCATAAGATAAACAGCCCATTTTAACCTGGAAAAACATATCATCTTATACACGGGAGATATATGGTACTACATGATGTTAATCTCTTCTTTGAAGGACTGCCCCACTTGTTTTTCCCGTCTGTCCATGGTACTGTTTTCTGGTGAGAAACCGTATTTGTGCTACCAGCAGATTATCTCTCAGCTTGCCAGCAGATTGCCCATTTTTCATGTGCACAACACCAAGAATCTACAAGTGACTATTATATACCCGTAAGGATAAAAAAATTATTATTAAGTTTTTAAGTAATTGATACAGACAGTGCTTTCCATGTGGTTTATCACACTCCAAACAGGTGACTGTTGAGAATAGCAGAAGCTATAACAATTAAAATCAACAACCCCCTCCTTTGTAAGCAGACGGAATTTATAGTAAATTTATATTAAATTTGAAGTTACCCTGGTAAGTCATGTGACTACGGTGAGCTTCCGGCGGCCAAAACACACACAATGTGTTGAAAGAAACTATTTGCATTTCAGTTGGATTTATTCAGTTTTGTACTTCATTATATGTTGATTTAACTATGTAGTAACACACCTGACGAGATACAGTGAAATATGCCTGGCAA